TAATAATATTAAAAATATTAAAAAATAAAATATTAAATAAATATATTAATACATGAAAACTAGAGAGGAAATGGATGTGTTCGGGGGCGGGGAAAGAAAAATGGAAACGAAAACGATGCTTAATCGTTTTTAGTTTTGCTAATTTTTGAAAATAAGTAAAAAACATTTTCAATTTTTGTTTTTCAGGAAATGGGGTGCCAAACACATTTGTGAGAGCATTTTTATTTTTTTGTTCTTGAAAAATGTGAAAAACGTTTTTGAAAATGATTCCAAACATGCACATTAATTTTCACCTTTAATGACTATTATAAAAAATTATATGGAGGTATGTTCAATTTTCTTTATTATGTGTAAAGATTTTCTGTTTTAATTTTTTTTTTTTTCATCTTGTGTTCATATTTGTGGATTTAGAATTACTTGGATGGATGAGGATGGTTGCAAACAAGTCCGCAAGGTTTGTTTGACAAACACAGTACCTCTACACAAGATTTGATATTACACCACTTATCAATCCAACAATGCCCAACTATTTTGCCATTAAATTAAAGTCAGTACCTTAGTATCACTTCTAAAATGACTAATGAGTAAATGTGATATTCTTTGGAAGAGAAGATTTATTTGTTCCAAGACAATTCAAAGTGTTTTTGTCCGAATGTGTTTAGTTTTAGCATATGTAAAATGGTTTCGATTTGTCAAATTATTTATGTCTTTTATTTTTCTAAAACTAAGTAATAGTAAACTTTTCGAAATTAGATTCACAGATAATGAAATTTCTTATTGAACTAAAAGAAAAAAATCGCTCCGTGCCTAAAGTTTCAACAAAAAATAAATAAAATAAATAATATTAAAATAATCATTTAATTTATGTGGTGTGTAGATGGAAAGGAGTGTGGAAAGTAAAAAAATGGGTGTGGAGAGATAGAAAAAAGATAAATAAAATCATCTTTAATGATTTTATAATAATAATTAAGGTTAATTTTGAAATAACAGGATGTATAAAAAGAAAATTTACTCAATTAAAACTTACATGAATTGTGTAGTTAGAAAATAAATGAACTATAAATAATAAAAAAAAGGAAATATAATTACCTTTTAACTTATAATATAAAAAAGTAAAGACTTTCTTTCGTACGCCTCACATAAAATCTATTTAAATTCATATCAATTTAAAAAAAATTATAAAAAATAGATAATTTTTAACACAGATTTAAGACTCTTTCAGATGTGATATTCTTTTAGAGTATTTTATTATAATAAAAAAAATTAAATGTGATATTTTTTAAAAAAATTTTATTATAAAAATCTAAAATTAAAATTCTAGTAAAATAAAGGAGATCTTAATTATTAAAAAATAAATAACTACTCCCGATTCTACATAAACTTCCAAAACGAACGATTTTCGGAAAAAAGAAAAAAAAGAAAAAAGCTCAATGGCAATGGCATAGAGGAAATTTAACTCGAACTCCAAGTGCAAAATAAAAACTGCCAAAAGCTCTCCATCTATATCTTTTGCACTCAGCTCCACGCCGTAATCTCCGTTTCTTGCTTCCTCAAAACAACAATGAACCTCCAAGCTTCATCAAGTCCTCCTAACTCCAACAACAATGGCGACCCAAAACCAGACCTCCAAAACCCTAACAATGGCGAAACCACCGACTCCCCCGCCTCGGCTTCGAGTTCGAGCTCGGCCCGTCCGGGTCGGGCCCGACCCGGCCCATGAGCTCCGCTGACGAGCTCTTCCTCAACGGCAAGATCAGGCCGATGAAGCTCTCCACCCATCTCGAAAAGCCGCAGAGCCTCGCTCCATTGCTGGATCTCAACGACGACGTAGAAGAAGTTGTGGAGCTTTGTTTCGAAGCCGTTCGAGGAAGAGATCTGAGGCTCCGAGACAAGTCGCTGCGGCGGAGAACTCGGTCCATGTCGCCTCTGAGATGCCCGAGCTCTCCATTCGAAAATGACGCGAAAATAGTATGTGATAATGTGGAGCAGAAGAAGAACGACGATCACGAAGAAGAAGAAGAAGAAGAAGAAGAAGAAGGGATTAGTATTAACAACACGCCTTTAGTTTCGGCTTCGTCTTCGCGGTCGTCTTCGGCCGGTAGAAACTCCAAGAGATGGTTGTTTCTGAAAGAGTTTCTCAGAAGCAAAAGCGAAGGAAGAAGCAACAACAAGTACTTTTGGTCCACCATGTCGTTTTCTTCCCAAGCCAAAGAGAAGAAGCCCATGAATACTACTAAAAACGACAACAATAACAACACCAATAATCCTAGTACTAGTAGTAACGTTAATGAGGTTTCATTGGATGCCCAGAAAGCGAAAAGAAGCGGGCAATCTTCGGCGAAAAAGGCGGTGAATGGAGTCGGGAAGAAGAAGACTTATGAGATGCACTACACTGCGAATAGAGCTCAAGCTGAGGAGATGAGGAAGAAGACTTACTTGCCTTATAGGCAAGGCTTGCTTGGGTGTTTGGGGTTCAGTTCAAAGGGTTATGGAGCTGTCAATGGCCTAGCTAGAGCCTTGAATCCGGTTTCTTCGAGGTAGATATGATTATATGATATGATATGGTATATGATATGATATGATCTTCTTGGTTGTATTTGGAAATGCCCAAAAAAGAATGTAACTGTATAGATTTTTTTTTTTCCTTTTTTGATTGGAGATTTGAAGATTATGTGATGATAATCTTTTGTAGTACTTGATGTTGGTGTTGTTGGGTCTTCTTCGCTTTTTTTTGTTTAAAAGAGTTGTCCCCCAAAAATGGGTTGGTCGAATTATGCTTTTTCCCCATTTGCGTTGTACAAGATGTGTGGAAAGTGTATACTATCATTATTTATTAGTGGAATTTATCATGATTTAGATCATGTATGTGTTCTGTTTTCATATCCGATACGTACTCACATGAATCAATTTTGCATTGAGAGATTCATATGTGTGTGTGTGTGTGTATGATTGATGATAGATTTTCTATGTAGTTTCCAAAAACCGATCTATATTTCACATTCTTATCCATGTGGGTTGGTGACATTAGGGGTTTTGGAAAACTGAAGAAAGTGAAAAAGAAAACCTTGGTGGTTAAAGGGCATGGCTTGTTAGTAGTTGGTGGCCTTCACATGCTCATTTACATGCCAGATTCCTATTTACATTTGACTTTACTTTTCTTTTTTTTTTTTCCTTTATTTTTTTATTTTTTTCAAGAATTACAGGGTAGGGTGCGAAATAATACCTTATAGTAAGGCATAGCTCTAAACCATTAAATTTTAATTAAATATCTTTACATTACCATATATTTTAAATTTAATGCAATGTGCAGTTAAAAATTGATTTCATGTTTTGTTTTTTTATTTTATATATCCTACTAGAATTTTTTTTGTTACTTTTGTTTATGGGGTTAGGTGTGGGGAAAGGGTTGGAGAGCATAAGAAGCTACTTATCTTAGAGCTATAATTTCGCACCAATTAATGATTGAAATCTAGGTGAAGTTAGGGAAAAGGCAGTTGAATTATGAGTATTTTACGACATGGGACGTGTTTATCCTAAGATTTTACATAAAGGAGCTTGAGATTGTGAGGCGTGATTTTTATTTTACTCTCTAATTAAACGAGGACATCAAGTTGTCGTTTTGCCTCTTTCCGGGATTATCTTTTGGAATATAGTAATTAGCATGTGTTTATTAGGTATCTGTCTATCTAGTTTTTATGAAAAACGCAATGGAAGAATTAAGACCTACTACGTCAATCTTGTTCGGTGGGGGATTAGCATCTGTTTCTTTTGACTTCGCTCATCTACACAGGTGCCCTTTGATTCATAGATTTAAACAAACAGAAATTTAAATTTTTGTTAAAATATACTGTAATAAAAATGTTTGAACCGTGAATCACGAAACAAATCATATTTCCTTAAATTCATTGTAGCTTACCATACAGAGGCTAGTTCTTTGTGATTCACCAACTTCATGTTGATATCATCTTAACAATACAAAATAAAGTTCAATTTAGCATTCTTTAGAGAATACGGAAACTTTGAGTAAAAATGAAGATCGGATAAAAATTGTGTGGAAAAAAAAATAAAAAAACCAAACTTCCTTTTTCTTGTTACTGTTGTAGTTTGAAATTTTTGGTAAAAGTCCATGACCACCTAACCAGGCCCCCTATATTATGATCAGCAGCGGTGGGGATTTTAATGAGATGTTTAGTTCATGGATTTAAAACCGTAATTTATAATTCTGATTTTTAAAATTTAAATTTTTTGTGAGAGAAAAATAATGTAGAGAATTAAGAACTAAGATTCAGAATCATAGACAAACCTTTAAAATAAACATCTCATAAAATTTAGCCTAGAAAAAAAGAAAAAAAAGTCGAAAAATTTCCAGTCATGGTCCCCGTCTCCATTATTGTTCATGGGTTTCTTATCTAAATTTCTAATTTAATTCTAAGAATCCATTTAAAAAAAAAAGAAAAAAAAAAAGAAAGATGGCACATAGCTTGAGATGTACAGGAGAGAGATGTTTCAAGATTCTATACATTGATCTATCACCTTCAATATATGAACTCTGAATTTGTTGCTCAAACTTCTAACTCCTTTCACAATTGGTCCCCAATCCCATTTCCACACTTGTGACCCCATCTGAATATCTGGTCATTTTCATCACTACTTTGATTTCGCCTAGCATCCGAAAAGCAAAACACAAAAATTATCATTATATTAGCTCTCATAATCCTTTTCCATGATCCACGCTTGTAGGAGAAAAGAAAAGTAACAATGTGGAAAAGCTGAAAATGCATGATATTGAAAAAGAGGTGACTGCAAATAATGCAGTGATAATACCAACAGGAAGAAATGCACAATGATATCCTCCATGAGTCAAGCAATTGTTGACTATTTTGTTTATCATAATTAAAGTTTTGTTATATTGATTTTGGCATTTTTATTAGATCTACAGTTGTAATATTCGGTTCCATCAAATGAAAACAAAATCATTATTTTTAAAAAAATAGTAATAATAATCAAAAGTTCACAAAATAATGCAAGATATCACAGTTCCTTATACGTTACCGGAATGCATTGCTGCAAGACTAATTGGAACCGCTTAAATAACACATTTTATTAGGTATAGAAACGAGCCACCAATTTAAGATTGCGATTGGTACACGGGTTTGGATAGAATTATTGCTAAGATTAAATTCTATTGGATTACATTGGACAATAACTTATATTATTCTATGTTTAGTTTAGGATTAAATTGAACTGTATTTTCCTTCGATTAAAAATTTGAGAATGATTAAATTATCAGAATTTTCAAAATAAAGTTTATTTTCCATATCGAGATAAACAAAAACAAATTTGTAAAACCAGATTAGTAATCCAAGCACAAGTGCTTCAAAGTTGAATGTTTAGCATACCATCCCTCACTAAACAGTTGATGAGGAAATGAATAGGCGTCTTCACTCCGAAGATGATAACAGGGATTACTTTGAACTTTCAACTTCGAACTTTGGAGTTTGGGATTAATTATCCCCTCTCCATTTTGCAACTAAGCATGCGATTGGGATTGCTTATCCCAATTTCATGCCTTATCTAATGCACCAAAAAGGGCCCCTAGTGTTATATCACTTGACATTGTCTTTAATTCATCCATAAATAAATACCAGCGACGCATTAAAACAGAATTTAAGTGTTGTATGTCACTGCCACTGCCATGTAATTTATTGATGAATTTAAGACAAAGCAAGTGCGAATGAGGAACTCAGAATGATGGAAAGAATTGGACAGATTAAACCGTCCCGTCTAATAAAAATTCCAGCTGATGAACAAAACCAAAAAATAAAAAAAATAAAAAATAAAGAAAAAGAAAAAGAAAGAAATGAAGAATTATATACTACAGAAACTCAGGAGCATGGATAGTGGATAGGATTGTGAAAGCAGCCCCATTGTCGTCAAAAACAAAAGCACCCCCATTGTCTGTTTCCAAAATCCGAATAATGCTCACATGAATCTTGAACAAAAAGTCTCAGACTCTGTTCATTTCACCGATTCAAGTTTTATTACAGTAAAAATCTTTCAAAAACAGTTACATCTAATTTTTTTACTACAACAAAAAACTCACATAGTCGCATCTCAACTCGAATTAAAAATTTAAGTCAGCAAACTAAACGAACCCTTACAGCAATATATTCTGCCACCGTGCGCCAAAAGCCAAAAGTCGGCCCCACTTTCTGATTAAGGGCGTTGAATTACGTACGAGTTTTATGATCCATGTCATATGATATTTCTAGCAAAAGAAAAAGATCCATGTAATATTTCACACAGAATCCTAGGTTGTTAAAAAATTCAGTGAGTTCCCAGAGTATCGGCTAGAAACCGGCAATTATAAATAAAACCACATCTGCCATCATCAAGTTATGCCTTGCTATGCCCAAAAAAGTTTATATTATACTAAGACATTCCATTCAAGAATACAAATGTTGTGTTGATTTTACCCAAAGCTATCCTCAACTGGTTATACTATTCAACTTCAAAGCGCAAAAAGATTAGCAACAGATTTGCATAGAGTACAGATTAGCAACAGATTTGCATAGGGTACAGCATAACGTTTACATTCCCAAGCTAAGAAAGAAGAAGATTGTGAGACATGAAATCTCTGGAACTATGTTATGAAGATCTCCAAGCAAAATCACAGGATCCGCTACTTCTTTCGACGGCTGATTAATACGAGGCAAACGTAGATAGAATATTCTTCTTGAGAGTGAACTCATCCGCCTTGCTTGGGCTGATTGATTGCTGGAAAAGAAATAAAAATCTTCAATTAATGAAAGACATTTATGCACACCAAGTGCTATAAAACAAGAATCAAGATTCATCAATTAATGAAAGTTACATTATCAACACAGTTGTGAAACGAGGAGGGCAACTCTGTAAGGAACAACTGATGCCAGTTGCTTGATGAGGAAAAGAAAAAAAAAACCCTGATGCCAGTTGCAGTCATCAGTATCAGTACCAGAAAAGTTCCAAACATATTGATAGAGCAGAGTAGTGTTCCCACAGGAACGAATCAAGAAGAATGAAAAATGTAATCTTTATTGTTGAACCACACGAATTTACAGACTAACAATTGACACTCTCTCTCTCCCCTTGCTCAACTACAGCCAAGACTTTCCAAACAGACTCCAGTAATTTCCTCCCCCTCTCTAATCCCAGCTTATTCCCTATTTATTCACTTCCCCCTCCTTCCTAACCGACAATCCCCTGTACAGCCCCCCACCTTAACCGACTATTCTCAATGCAACCCACAGCATCATACAACTTCTCAGCTAACTAACTAACAAGTTCCTATCATTACTACTTTTCTAACCAACTAACAAGTTCCTATCATTACTCCCGCCTCAAACAAACACCTTGTCCTCAAGGTGTAAGTCAAGAAATTGCAGCTGAATGACTCGACTTCCTTCCTATATCGATGAGCTTGAATCTTGGAACGTCGAATGGAGCATTGACTCTAAGAGAGTCAAGCTCAGCGGTGACGAAGACTACAACAGAGAGGCTTGGAACCATGAACTCGGTAGCGACGATCCCAACAACAATGGGTCCTAAAGCAGTGAACAAGAGAAAGGTTGGGTTTTGGAGTTGCAAACCCACCAATTTCAAGTCTGCCATTTGCAAACTTCCTAATTTGAACTCCAGGCACACCAATTTCTGCATACCCTGCCCCAAACTCGCTGAAATTTCGAGGGTGAATTCCAATCGCACCAAAATTAGCCTCAATCTTGCTGGAATTAGGAAGTCCAGCCCCAACCTTGCTGAAGTTGCCCTGTCCGCACATGCAGACCAAGACACAGCCCTAATTTCACCAGAATTCACGCCTAAATTCCCTATTCCGGCCCCAAACACGTTGGTGTTGCGAGGCCCATCCCCAATTGCGCGGAAATTAGCCCCAATTGCGCCAGAATCTCAGCATCCCATCCAAATTCGGCCGGAATTTCGGAACCCAGCCCAAATCTTGCCTGAATTCACGCTCAAAAACGCTGACCCAGTTCCAACCATGCCAGAAGGCGAAGACCCAGTCAAGATTGCTCCAAAATCAGCCCTAACGTCTCTTGAATTCCAAGACCCAGACCAAAAATCACGAGACCCAGCCCCCAAATTGCCGAAATCGGAACTTATTCCGCCGCCAAACGTTGCCCAAGGATCTCCGTTCAAGTTTGATTCATGTCGAGCCCCTCCAAATTCCCTAGGTTCCACCGCCGGCCCTTTTCCACGGTCGATTCCCCCTCCGTTCAACCCAACCCCGCCGCCGACAACCCCCAACACCTCCCGGCTATCTTCTCTGGAAACCCTATGTTCGGCCGGAATCCTTCCTTCACGCCCAATTTCCTCAACTCCGGCCAACGACCCACGGCCTGCAACTTGACCCGAACCAAATTCCCCATCCCGATTTCTGGCGACGCTTGGGCCGATTTCCTTTACCGGCGTCTTAACTTTCCCCATCGCCAACAGAAGCTTCATTTGCTCTTCCATCAGTCGACGCAGATCAGCAAAGTACTGGTTCATCTCTGCCCTAACATGTTGAATCTCCTTCCCCACCGACTCAAACCTCTCCTCCAACTTATTTCTGGCCATAACCAAGATCGATGCTCTGATACCAAATTGATAGAGCAGAGTAGTGTTCCCACATGAACGAATCAAGAAGAATGAAAAATGTAATCTTTATTGATGAACCACACGAATTTACAGACTAACAATCGACACTCTCTCTCTCCCCTTGCTCAGCTACAGCCAAGACTTCCCAAACAGACTCCAGTAATTTCCTCCCCCTCTCTAATCCCAGCTTATTCCCTATTTATTCACTTCCCCCTCCTTCCTAACCGACAATCCCCTGTACAGCCCCCCACCTTAACCGACTATTCTCAATGCAACCCACAGCATCATACAACTTCTCAGCTAACTTCTCTAACTAACTAACAAGTTCCTATCATTACTACTTCTCTAACCAACTAACAAGTTCCTATCACATATCCAATAGAGTCCTAATCCTGAACCTACCGGTTTATTGTTCCGTAATGAGGTAAAAGTTTACTTGTCTAAAAAATGAACTGTAGAAAGGAGCCGATTAGGTTATATAAATTAGGATAGTGTTATTTTTGTAAATTAAGATTTCTGATTTAGTTTCCTAATAAATAGGATCAGTTATTGAATTGATTGATTCATAATTTAGTTACTTTCCTAGTTTGTTGAGATTCCTAATTTTGTGGGATTCTCCATTTACTTTCCTAGAATAAGTGGACTGGGATGCCGGCCACTCAAGTATAAATATTAGGGCTATATTTCCTTTGGTTAATAAGAATTTCTCTTCACCAAAATTCTCATGGTATCAGAGCCGAATTCAAAACCCTAATCCACTCTATCATCAATCTCTCATCATGACCAAATACGGCATGAATACCCAAACCAGTTCCTCGGAAGTCCAGTCAAGACCTTAGCAAAATTCTCCAGCCGTCAACGCTGATAATCCCTCAGCCAATATCATCGAAAACTCACCTCTTCCTGTTACCAGTCACAAACTCAGTGGCCACAATTTCCTTCAGTGGTCACAATCCATCCTCATATATGTATCTGGCAGAGGAAAAGATGAGTATCTCACCGGTGAAGTCCCTGTTCCAGCGGCAACAAATCCCAAGTATCGGACGTGGAAAACAAAAAATCACATGGTTATGTCATGGCTAATAAACTCCATGACCACCGAAGTTGGAGAGAATTTCCTTCTCTACAAAACAGCCAAGGAAATTTGGGATGCGGCACGTGAAACCTACTCCAGTTCTGAAAATACCTCAGAACTTTTTGAAATTGAAACTCGACTTCATGATATGCGACAAGGGGAGATGACAATCACTCAATATTTCAACACAATAACCCGGTACTGGCAGCACCTTGATATGTTTGAAATATATCCCTAGACATGACATGTCCTAATGATGCAGCTATATACAAAAACATTGTTGATCAAAAGAGAACATTCAAATTTCTCCTTGGTCTCAACAAGGATCTGGACGAAGTAAGGGGGAGAATCATGGGAAGCAGGCCACTGCCTTCCATCCGAGCGGCATTTGCTGAAGTCAGAAGAGAAGAAAGCAGGAACTAATGATGACAGAACATATGAGCACCCCGGTTGCTGAAGGTTCGGCCTTATATACACACAACTCATCTCAAGATAACAGGCAAAGAAGAGGAAGACCATGGTGCGACCATTGCAAGAAGCCTGGTCACACCAAAAAAAATTGCTGGAAAATACATGGGAAGCCCGCTGATTGGAAGCCTAACCGCGCACGCCAGGACCGAGACAGCCGCGCAAATGCTGTCACCACTTCAGACAACCCCAGCACCACTCCTGAAACCAGTCCGTTCACTAGGGAGCAGATTGAGGTACTGTAGAAGCTACTCGGACAGGTATCAGGTCCTTCTCAGTCCACATCACCCACTGCTGAACAACATACCAGCATGGTAGTACATCAAGGTACATTTTCCTTTGCTCATATTGCGAAAACCAGGAAATTAGGACCATGGATAATTGATTTTGGGGCCTCGGATCACATGACTGGAGATATTAATGTCTTCCACAAGTTCAGTGCCTATTCTAGTCCTAGCACAGTACGAATAGCGGATGGATCACATTCAAACGTGGCAGGAATTGGATCCATCAAATTGACAAAGGATCTCCTTCTCTCATCTGTCCTTTATGTTCCAAAATTAGATTGCAATCTGCTTTCTATTAGTAAACTCACCCGTGACTTGAACTGTGACTAAATTCTATCCAAATCTTTGTGAATTTCAGGCAGCGGATTCAGGGAGGTGATTGGCAGTGCTGAAATGTGTGGTGGTCTCTACTTGCTCAAAGGGAACCCTCCTCCACATGGACAAGTTCATTCAAGTTGTTTTTCTGAGTCTGTTTCCAATTCTGTTTCTGTTTCAAATGAGAATCAAGTTATGTTATGGCACTTTCGCCTTGATCATCCAAATTTTGTGTACCTTGAAAAATTGTTCCCTCATTTATTCATCAATAAAAATTCCAAGTTTTTTCATTGTGAAATATGTCAACTTGCAAAGCACACTCGGCATGTCTATCCTAGTATTCAATATAAGCCTTCACATCCATTCTCCATAATTCACAGTGACATTTGGGGACCCTCAC